CCGTTATGACTGGGACCTGTGTTTTACATGACTAGTCATCGTCTGCCTCATCGCATAATGTTAGCTGAAGTAGGTTAAGGCTGGAAAGTAGGTGAGAGGCAGCTAGATTTAAAACAGCATCTATTAGTGAAGTCTTAGACCGTTGGCCTGAGCAATGTAGTCAAATGTGGATATAATGGTTGGGTTCCGCGTGATAACAAAATCGGTGCTTGGATTTTTCAGGTGAAATGACTCAGAATCAAACTCAGTGGCGTTAACTTGTCCACATATTTTCTTTATCTTCATGATAACTTCGAATTTCCTCAGTTTTCGATACCTTCTTCTCTATTTATGACTTTCTTCATTATTTTCCTATGTCAATTTAATGCGTTCTGCCTCAATGTGAGTCCCATGTTGGTACTGACTGACTGATAACTGTGGAAGCTATTAAGTCCTATGCACTTATCACGCTTCATCGGCTTCGTTAGAGATTCAGTCACTGAATTTAATGAAATGACCCTGTTCTCGATTGTGTGTGGTTTAAAAACAGTAAAATTCAGTCTATTAGAAGCTTTGGACTCAAAGATATGGCAATCAACACTCGACAGATAGAGGGTCTACATGAAGAAGAAATCGTTTGTTCTGTAGGCGATTCCAAACTGAAAAACTCAGCACCGTAGTAGGAGACTTTTCTTTTCAAATATTCTGATATGGACATCATAAAATATCCACCCAGTGTTCAATTTATAACAAGAAAGGTTTAAGTTTTACCATAATAATTATTTATTCAAGATTTTCTGCTCTGAGTAGATAAAAACTGTTACCTCAATCTGTGTATGAAGATTTTTCATTTATCAGTTAGCTTTCAACCAAATTCCAACTTCTTATTCCGGTTTTAGTGTGAAGAAATAAGTCCCAAAGTTATTTTACTCGCTCTCCTACAGTTAAATTTGTCACCACTGCACACGTTAAAACCATTTCAAACGTTCAAATTTAGCTTTAAAATGTTAGTTTTAAAGGTTCTTCTCCCTAGAGTTTGAGTATAAATATAAGGCATGCCTACATACTAGATAGAGTCCAGTATTTTTGCAAAGACGATACACGTATCAGATGTGGTCAACAATCCTCAGTTCAATCAGTAACAGATCAGAAAAAACCCGGAATCGGTTCTTTGACTGATGCTTATCAAATGCCAAATCGGACGTATATTCATTGTTCCTCACAGAGTAATCTTGTCGAGGTTGCTAAAAGCGAGCACTTTCGTAGCGTCAATTCAAACATTTCTAGTGTTTTAAAACATTTCGAGTGGCAATTATGAATAAGCTGTTAACAGAGTCTTAGACTTAAATTTCAGTTAAAGCTGGTTTTTTCCCAAACTGAGGAAAGCTGCTAAAAAATATTCACAGCTAGACTTATAAGCATATGTGGACTTGTTAGTTCAGGAATTAATTATTAACAATCTGTCACTGGTATGATATTGTCAGTGTGTTATTAAGAGTATGATACATATAATCTTTGACAAACTGCTATCGTACAAAAATTTCCAAGTTCCATTACGTTCTTCCAAATAATGTGTACTCAGGACACATGATTTTCGTCAGCTAACGATCACTGGCAAAGTGTATAATGCTTGTGTAAATCACAAACACCAAATATTATTAGATGAATACATTATTTTGTTTTCATGCAGTCTAAAAGCTATTGAGAGGTTAAAAACTAGTGAATACTGACCTTTCTTGAAATCAACAAATAGGATAGTAATAACATCATGTTAAGTTTGTCAAAAGCTGCTGGATACCACATTACACTTTATTTGTTCGGGAAAAATGGAGTTTAACGGCTCGGAATGTAATGTTTTTGTTTTTCCTTCCCTTAATCTTCAGTTTGAAATCTTATAGTCCTTCATATCCTCCGTGAATATTAACTATGATCCAATCAATTTATTTCTTCACAGTAATGGACAGTGGCTAGCCGTAGAATCCAACATGTGCATTTCGTCCTATTTGGGACTACTCAATGTTGTCTCTACTAAGACTTGAACCCAGCACCCATTGCTTCAAACGCCAAAGGGTTATCTAGTAGGCCCCTCAGTCACGATATCCAATCTTCGTGTGACAGGCATAGTTTCGATGTTATTGCTTGGAATTTCCCGTCGTTGACTGGACCGAATCTAACATTGCAACCAAACTAAAACTAGGAGCAATATGGAGGCATTAGTACAGGAGCCGACATGCCAATAGAGACCGGTTAATTTGGTCCAATCAATGTCATTATTTTTTGACAGTTTATTTGTGTTTCTTTGCTTATTGGTCAAGATTCTTGTTGCTTTCGAGAGTATTTTACACACCAATTCCTATTAACATAAATTTCTAACCTCTAAATCAGATATCAGTTGGTAAGGAACTCCTTTGAAATCTGAGTTTGCATTAGTTTGAACGCAAATTAGAACTGATAGTGTCAGTCCTATTGTAACAAGACTCCTCCAGTGTTATCATGATTACAAATACTACATTACTGTGTTTGGTCTCATGAATTGGTTGGATATAATGATTTGTTCTTTTGTTAAAAGTTTTAGATGGTCGCTGTATTAAAATAAGTTAGAATGGTTTTCAGCCACTCTTCATTCAATCATTCGAACGTTTTATCGAAAAAAATTATAGCACAGAATTAAAATGATAGTGGTTCAACGTTCTCCAAGCTTTGATATTTTGTTGTGGATGCTTCACCACCAAGCCTGGTGACATCCTTAGCGGTAATTTCGCAAAGAAGTGAAGCATATTCAAATGTTACACAAGTGTTTGAAGCAAAACGTAACAGTAACAATAGAATATTTTCACTCCAACAAAAGTCGTCTACAAGCGTGAAGAAGTGAAATTTGTGACCAAAGAGATAAAGGTATAATAGAAATATTTTCCCTTACTTACAACAGGATATCACTCAAGGTCAATGAAAACGAGGCAAATCATTCATGTACCATTTGAATATCGTTGAGTTCTTCATGACTTTAGCTCTGAGGATGATAAAAACACCTAGTGACGAAACATCAATGATAAAATACCAAGGTTCAGAAGATATCAAGCCAATACGAAGGCCTTGTTTTTATTGATTCTATCACTGGAGCGGATAACTGCAGACGCTACTTTTTTAAATAACATTCAAATTTATGATAATTAATGAGTACCCATAGGGAAGATTTAGAGAACACAAAGTGAAATGAATTTGTTCCACTGTGCGGTACTTGTTATTCCCACTTTACATGAAGTAATCAAGTAACTTTCATGTTTGAACGCAGTCATCCTTTACCTTGGCTTCATTTTTGTCATTATTTACTCTCGAAGTGGATCAGAAAACCTCATGATTTGTTTATATTTTGAATCTATTCTGTTCTGGAACTAAAGAGTTATGCCAGTCATTATTTACTTTGTTGTCCTTATTGACGAGTCAAGGTGACAGAGGTTCATCAAACAAGTAATGTAATCTGTCCCATCAAGCTAAAAGGGCGATATTCCACCGAAAAGTTAACGTGAGTCTGAGAAACGTTGTGGAATGGAATATGTGTTTCTTCACAACACAAGTTTATTGCCAGTGATATAGAATACTTTAAAATCAGTTGCATCGATTTACGTGGGCTGTAAAATCTCATATGGAATATCCAAGTTACTTTATCCGAATTTAAAACTAACATTTTTATTTTCTGGTTTTATGATAACACGCCAGGAAGTTTAAGACACTAGCTATCTGATAAAATGATTGGTAATATTTGACGGATAATGTGGTAAAGTTATGTCTGTTACTAGAGGAGAAAGAGGAATATTAAAATAAGGTCATACAATATTGCAGATTACATGTATTGTTACCAATAACATCAGTATTTACAAGTACAGCAATATTGTCTCATATATAGTTAATAAGATGGTTGCATTATTGTTAGTAAAAACTTTAAACTGTATATAAATCAAGCAAATGAACAGACAGGTGTCCAGGGTATAATAATGATGCTCTGAACTACTACTAATTAGACATTAAAATTCAATATTCTTATCATTATTACTATTTATCGTAGACAGACAGATACTCAGTTAAAAGCTGAAATTAACTTCTCTGCATGTGTTAAAGAGATTGTAGTCAGAATAAAACATTAGGAGAAGACAGTACAGGCTAACAAATGAAAAAACTGAACGGAACACGATTAATATACTTAACGCTCATTAAAACAATCATTATCTTCTAATGCGGGTGTAAAACTCCGAAACAGAACAAGCAATTACATTAATTAATGAGAGAATACATATTCAGAATAGAAGATAATAAAACTGAGATTATTTTCCAATTATAGTCATAATAATGAAAGAAGTAATAGTGAATAAAATTGGAGTAATAACACCAAAGCATGCTTTCATATATAAAGACATGAGGAAGGGGAATTCAAACTCAGAAATATACCAGTAACCACTTCAACACTGTAGCAAGTTTAGTGAAACAAGTCGAAAAAAACGTACTAGAAAGTATTTCACAACTCACATAGTATGATAAACTAAAATAACTGAGAAACGATAGAAACGAAAAATTCTACTCAATGAAATGCGAAATTTCATCTAACAAATAACAGTATGATTACAATATTAGCAAAAGTATTACTACTGTCAGCAGTTGTGTTGTATGTAGTATGCGTACTGTTGTTTTCGGGGAAGAAACTGAAGTAGGAAGAGCTAAGAGTACTACACGCTCAAAAGGAAGAAGAAAATAGAACGAGACATAAAATATTTTTTGTAAACTTTCATCTGACAGAACAGTTGAAGAAAAAACAACTTATAAACGAAATGTGGGTGTACTGATACGCTGTACCATAGGTAGGGATAAAGGTGGAGAAACAGAAGAAGTACATCTTCCCTATACTAACGCTTTATTCATAGTCAGTGTACAAACAATTCTTTTTTCCCAACAAAAACACAAATTAGTAAATATTGATGGGCATTAGTGCGCAGGCGTCTATTTATATAGGTACCAACCTATTGAACAAATCAATAAATCATAAATACTTTCTTTTGATGAATATTAGCTAATTTCGGAAGATCTTGCTTCTGTTTATATTTGGTTTTACAATCGTTAGCTTCATTTGTCCCAGTAGCTGAAAGAAAATTTTGTAAAACAAATTATAAGTAATATTACTGGATTATAATTACCACTGTTGACGATAAAGTACTAACAATGATGCTGGTAGCTGATTATTCTGGAAGCATTTATCCACTATTATTGGATGAAGATGAACTTATTAGTTTATTAGTAGTTTGTAGCAGTATAGAATGGCAGTCAACCCTCTACCTCAACTTCATTGACTTTGAAAAGGCCTTTGACAGCGTCGACCAAGAAGTAATCTGGCATATGCTTCAAGACTACGGAGTACCACAGACCTTTATCAATCTCATTCAACAACCATATGAAGACGCCACATGTCAAGTAATTCAATATGGGAAGCTCATTGATACCTTTGAAGTGAAGATAGGAGTAAAACAAGGCTGTCTACTATCACCGATGATCTTCCTGATTGTGGTCGACTGGATCATGCAACAAACTGTGAGGAGCGAGAAGACAGGGATACGCTGGACTGCGGAAAAGAACCTAGACAACTTGGATTTCGCCAACAACTTGTGTTTAATGTGGCAGAAACTTGAAGATCTACAGACGAAAACTAACAAGTTGACAGAAGAGGCAGCCCAGCGAAGATGGGACTTCAAGTGAACGTAGAGAAGACAAAGGTGATGATGATGCCCAACCAACACCTACAACAACAACAACAAGCTCCAATTATCATCAACGAGATAAACCTAGAGGAAGTAGCCTCTTTCACCTACCTAGGCAGCACCGTTTCAACCACAGACGGCACAGACGAGGATGTCCAAACCAGGATCGGAAAAGCAAGACAGGCGTTCATCAACCAGAAACCAGTGTGGAGATCTTTTGCACTCAGCATGTGGAACAAAATCTGGATTTTCAACACCAACATCAAATCAGTGCTTCTGAATGGCTCAGGGACTCGGCGCGTTACGAAAAGCATATCCAACAGACTGTAGAAATTCATCAACAACTACCTACGCTGGCTTGTTACTGAAGCTCAGATGGCCAGAATGATAAGAATAAGCAACAAGAAACTCTGGCTGGCTGGGCAACGAATCAACCAAGAACCTATCGTTCAACAAATATGCAGAAGAAAGTGGAAATGGATTGGGCATGCACTGAAAAAACCATTCGGAGACATCACGTGCCAGGCCCTCTAGTGGAACTCTAAGGCGAAGCGATGAGTTAGGCGTCCGAGGGTGACGTGGAGGAGATCGTACGAGGATGAAATGAGAGCTTCTGGGCTGTCGTGGAGGCAGATTCAAAAGATTTTGGAGGACAGAGTGGAATGGGGGCGTGCTATTGAAGCCTTAGGTTCCACTAGGAACCCAAGGGACAAATAATAATAATATAACAAATAGTTGTTTGTCAAATGGATTTGTTGGTGAGTAGAAGAGAGAAATATCTTCTAACGTCTATCATGTAGATTTGTACCCACGACATACTTAAATGCATGAGGTCACTGGAGAAGTAATTTCAGCCTTAAACAAATAAACGTGGCTCCAGTCCTGCGTAAATAAAATTATATTAGGACTATTTCAACCTTCTTTTGTAAAACTGTGATGCCATAAACACATAACTGTTAGCTTTGAAACCTTAAGCAGTGTGGATGTCATTTTGTCTGAAATACGGATTATTTATTTGTAGCATGGGTGAATAATCTAAATGGTGTTGTCTTCTCTGAGCTGGATGGTTTATTCGTGGTGTTTTCATTTACTTTTCAGACAACGTCATCAGCAATAAATTCAATACGAAGTGCTGATGACATCTGGAAAGACAATGAAAGCTCCATGAGTAAACAATCCAGCTCAGGAAACACAACACAACCAAAATAGATTATAGTTTTTATTGGAGTCCTTAGATTGGGTATTTTTATTCTCCATGCCTGTAATTTGTACTGCTCTCATCATACTAAACATGCACTTTTCAAGAATAGTTAATCAGTGGGGTAACCGAAAAGGCTGTCTAAACCTCAGTCCATAGCACTAACTTCACACTCCTATCGGCAGACAGATGAGTTCAGAGAGAATTATGCAAGGTGAGATTTTTTAAGATATCATAGTAGTTTAAAACCAAGTAAAATTAAAAAGGCAATTGAAGTTTATTGTTTACATCATCTCAGTTCGGTTAATGAACAGTAGCAACGCATATGAATGGCTTCCGATTAGTAATGGCAGTTAGTAGTAAATATTGTGCAATTCTTTTTTTTCGACGTGGTCGTTTGTTTCAAGTAGATCATAATTTGTTTTTCACAACAATCTAAAATGGTACAGCATAACCGGATTACAGTTGAGTTTGTCATTCTTACCACAGATTCACAATCTTTCAAATAAGTTGGTTCAAACTTATCTTTCAGAAACTACAATACCTGACTTCCCACTAATTTATTTTTTAACGGATTGGAAATGGTTCAATTATTGCATAATAAATAGTTCTGTGTCAAAAATTACTAAAATATATCCAAAAGAACTAAGTCTTACACCTGAGTGAATTCATCTTATCATTTAAAACACTTACATAATTCCGCACCAGTTTCTGTTGGTTCTTTCTTCTCTATAGTTTCAGCTATCGTTATATCATCATCATCGGAGGATAACTTCTTGACTTGTTCCTCGGAGACATCTGTTTTATTCTCAACGTTCTCCTGATTGTCAACACTTACCACTGTAGAAATGGGTTGTATGACTTCGATAACCGTAGAAACAGAACTTGATTTCTGTCTGTCTTCCTCATCATCATCGTCTTCATCATCATCATCATCGTCATTTTCTTCTTCTTCATCGACAACTTCTGCATTAGGTCCAACTTCTTCTTCAATTACTTCAGCTAAGACTTCAGCTGATGGTGGAGGTGGAAATGGTTCAATGTCTTCGCTACCTTCACTTGCAGACGTCGTGGATTCACAAGGTGAGCATGGTCTATCACTGTCTTTGATTTTGTATGATTCTCCGACAGTTTGTTTAGATGTATCATGCGTCTCAGTATCAGCAGTCGTGATGCAGTCGGACTGGCATTCAAGTATATCTGAAATTCTAGTTCCATTGTATTCACTATCATCGTCAAGCATTACTTGTTCTGATGAGCCGTATTCAAGACATTGGTTAACAGAAGAAAGTAATCGACTTTTCCCGTAATCACTGTCAAGATGAGAGGTTTCAGCAACGGCCTAAAAGCATTCAATAACTCATTTCGTCATACTCAGCTTTTACAAAGTAACTTTCTTGGCCAAAATGACAGTCTATGAGCTAGAATATTAATACTGTTGTTCATGAACTAATTGGTTACATTTGAATTATCAAAACATGCTACGTGCAGACGAAAACAAGTAACAATGTAAAGATGAAATGATAAAAGGGTTTCTTATTTGTGAACTTTTAAGTGAATACCTTAGTTTGTATAAACACTGAGCGAAATCACTGCCACCTATTTCATGGATTACACTACAAAACTGCATAAAATGATCAAACCTTGTAGTGTGATCATTGCAAATGGAGTCTCTTCGACAATGACTAGGTCTATTATTAATAATAGTATCAATAATAATACTATGTCTTAAAGTTGAATAGCAATACACCTCTCAACGCTAATCTCATTTGATTTCTCCTTGAAATCCCATGAAAACGTATTATCAACCAATTCATTTCTGACTGGACTTCATGAAGTTGTCTTTGTTTGCAAGCTATCCTTAGTGTGAGCAATAGAACTGTTATTGAAGTTGAAATGAAAATCTAGGCTGCTGTAGACATCAGTCAACTCTATCTCATATCTTCCAGTCAACAAACACTATGTCAGTATAGTAATGATAAATAGTGACTAGTAGTGGAATCCAGGATGCGTATTTCGTGCGACTTAGAACTCACCAGCTGGACGTACCTGCCTTTGTTTTATTCTCAACGTTCTCCTGACTGGCACAAGCAATTACACAATTTCAGTGTACTAAACTTGAGTCGATAAGTTTTCATTATGTATTTTTCGGATAAGCACGCCTAGGAACGCGATTTCATTATTTTCTTCTTCTTGTTCTTTCGCGAATTGAATACCTTCAAAGGTTTGGTTGATGAGATCGAAAATGTTCTCCAATTCATTTATTTGATAAGAAAAAGTGTCATCGACGTAAAAAAGGCAGACTTTTGGTTTGATTATTGTAATAACTATTGATTCTAACCTATTTATCACTGCCTCAGCAATCGGCATGGATAATGGTGAGCCCGTGGTAGTTCCTATCATTTGAGGGCTTTTGTTCTGTTCAAGAAGTAAATTGCTGAAGTGACCGAGTGCTGAGTTGGATCAATTCGTTGTAGTTTACTGCATAATTCTTTGGATGAAATCAATGTTAGTGTTTCCGGTAGGGGTACTATTTGTCGCTACAATAACAGTACAGTAAATTTTTCATCCACCATACTTTTGAGTTGGATTGGATTGAAATGTTACCGATACCATTTGTCCCAGCTGTCCATAAATTTGTCTATTACAATCGGGAATGTAAAGATCCCATGGAGTTTCTGGGAGATCACTCAGTGACTTCCAATCACTAGTTAACACTTCGGTTAACTTGAATAAAATCACTGTATCAACATCCTGATATACCTCAGAAACTAGTCCGTCTTGACCATTTCAAGGTATCTACCACTTTCTCGACTTTTGCCAGTGTTATTAGCCTATTCCAATGTTCCTTCCAGGGTCCCGGTGGATAGGAAGCCACGCGATAGTAGCTGGAGGCCATTTGAACTGTTTCTCAAAGTGTTCTGTCCATCGCTCCAGTCATCTTCCTGCGAGGGAATCGCAGACCGATCCTTCTCCGATATAGTTCTACTAAACGTTGACGTTTCTATCCCAGTTCCCTAATAAGCCTAATCAATTGTCTGCTTTTACCTACCGCCGTTGCCTTTCTCATCTCTCTAGCCTTCACTAACCACCTCTGTTTGAAGTCGTTGCGTGGACTTTTTGTCAGTCTAAATTTGAGTTAAGTTCGCTCCTTATTGTGTTCAGAGCCTTGAGGGATGTGTTCGCGTGTATCTAACAATTGAAAAGTAGCTGGTGATGTCCACTGCCTCTTTCTATACACTGTTTGAGAGTCGGCTACGATCTTCAATGTTGCTTTTACAACAGCCTGGAGATGGCACCAAGCTTTTTCTGGATGGGTGATAGTGTTGTGTCCCGATAACTGGTTAGTTAGTTTCTCACTGAAAGCAGCGTTAGTGATCTCGTTGTCAAAATAGATTCATAATGGCCTCTTTGCTGAAATTTTGCTACTTCCATTAAAACGCAGACGGATATGCGCCCGAACCAACGCGTTGTTGCTATCCAAACACATGCTGCATCAGAAGCGGCAGTCTTCTACCAACCTTCCCCGGGGATTACCGATAGCAATGTGGTCTACCTGTGTCAACAGCTGATATGAACTCGGTGAACGACACCTCGGACAATGTGTTTCTTTATGTCTGAAGTTTGTACTATCTAGAGGAAAACAGTTGTAGTAAGCGATTTCCGTTATATTTTCGTTCAGCTGGGATTCCGAAAAGTCCACCTAAGTGCTTTTCTTCCTGACTCAGCCCACTCACTTCCACATTAAAATCACCTATGACAACGACCACATCTGAACGTTTGCGTTCAGAAAGAGGCTAAACAGTTTTTCGTAGAACTCAACCTTCACTCCATCCGAACTGTAGTCACTGAGGGAGTGGGCAGAGGTTGTAAATAGATAATGACGGGTTTTGCTGTTCCTTTTAGTTCCTACTGTACCAATAAACCAGATGGCACATAAGTGAATGTCAAGTGGAATCCAGTCTTTTAGTGGGCTTTTTATCTCAGTGCTATGCCTACAATAAGACTGTGAGTACCAGCTACTGAATCTCTAGAAACTCCATGGGATCTTTACATTCCCGATTGTAATAGACAAATTTATGGACAGCTGGGACAAATGGTATCGGTAACATTTCAATCCAATCCAACTCAAAAGTATGGTGGATGAAAAATTTACTGTACTGTTATTGTAGCGACAAATAGTACCCCTACCGGAAACACTAACATTGATTTCATCCAAAGAATTATGCAGTAAACTACAACGAATTGATCCAACTCAGCACTCGGTCACTTCAGCAATTTACTTCTTGAACAGAACAAAAGCCCTCAAATGATAGGAACTACCACGGGCTCACCATTATCCATGCCGATTGCTGAGGCAGTGATAAATAGGTTAGAATCAATAGTTATTACAATAATCAAACCAAAAGTCTGCCTTTTTTACGTCGATGACACTTTTTCTTATCAAATAAATGAATTGGAGAACATTTTCGATCTCATCAACCAAACCTTTGAAGGTATTCAATTCGCGAAAGAACAAGAAGAAGAAAATAATGAAATCGCGTTCCTAGGCGTGCTTATCCGAAAAATACATAATGAAAACTTATCGACTCAAGTTTACAGAACGATAATTCACAAAGATTGTTTTGAACTACAACAGTAAACACTCAACGTTTCATAATAAGAGTTGTGTACAACTACCGTTCGCATGTACCAAGACTCATTGCAGCACTCAACAGTTGTAAAATTTAGAACAAAACCGCTTTTATAAAGTATTCAAAGCCAATGACTATTCAGTCGGCTTCACCAAGAAATGTCTATCGACAGAACATGCACGAGGATGATTACTTCAACGTAAGGAACAAATCGCTTACCATATATCAAAAATGTTTGCTTCGATTGCTTCGTCTATTCGGTATCAGCGTGGTACATAAACCAACCGAATTCCTACAGAACATCTTAAACAAGTCAAAGGATGCATTTCTTGATGACGATACGATAAATATATAATTTACAAAATTAGCTGCAAGGTCTGCCAACATCAGTATACTGGCAAATCCAGCCAGCGAATGAGTCAAATAATTCATGAACACCAACTTACAATCAAATGACATGATACATCCACACTGATATCAATACATGTAAATGAACACAACGACATCTTCTGCCGGGATAACGTGGAAGTGCTACAATAAGCAATCTCTAAAAACTGTAAGAGGACTCCAAGAAGCATGGTACTCCAGTTAAGTAGCAATCAACAGGCATATGGACATTGACACAATATTAAGGCTATTAGAAACGGGTCACCCAACTGGTAATCAGCCAAACAACCGAATAAACAGACGTTAGGTCAGTGGCTTACATCAAGCGATAACATCAGTTATAACATACAAACTCTGATCAAAGGGAAGAATAGGTCACCCCTACTCACAAGTCAATAACGTTCAAGGTCGGTAAATTTCTTTCATAATCGTCCATGCAACTTAAAAATACTTCACTTCTTTGTGAATTAGATGCGGATGAAGCCACCTAGCCTAGTGGTGAAACATTCAGAAACAAACCTCAAAGCTTGGAGAACAGCAAGAAATTATCAGGAACTACCTTAGTTGGATTGTAAAATAGACAGAATTTAAAACAATTAGTTCCCTTTATAAACCTCGACAAAACAATAAGAAGACGTAAATTGTCTGAACCGTGTAATGTATTTGCGCAACACATTTCGAACTATCTGATCACACACGTACTTGTCATAGGTATTTATATAAAAACTCATGAAGATAAGGGGTGAGAAAATAAAAAGGGGTCAGGTAGGAAGGCTGACTTAAAGGCCGAATAACAATGAAAATCAATAGAGCGAAAAAATAATAGTACATCGAACTTGGTTTTTCAATAGTTGAATTTACCAAGGAAGGTTTAATGTGACAACAAATTGTTTATGAATACATAAAGGTGGTTTCAACTTCCTAATAGCTAAGGCTTCAACAAATTTCAGGATCCCTCCCCAACATGTTTTGTAAATAGGTGTAAAGGAAGTAGCCACATCAATCTTGTGACCTGTCTCAACGATATGTTTAGCGATCGAAGAACTTGGACGTCTGCTACCAACATTTATAGGTTCAGGTGATTTAATTTGCTTCTGAAGCCACTTTGGAATATGTTCCGAGGCCCTTACTTGCATGGATCTATTAGTCCTCCCTATGTATGTGTCACCACACGTACATTTGAATTGGTAGATACAATGGGATGTGACATTATCGTTCACATGCTGTGGGGGTTTGGGGGAATATAAGGGCTTCGTGGTTTCGATTACTCGAACCCTGGCTGCATAGTAAGTCCTTCTAACAGCAGCGTTAAGTCTCTGCT